ATTCCCCCTATTGTCATGTCCCCTCCACCTTCACATCTTGTTGACTGGCGGGAGGACTATTATTTACACATGAAGGCCACATCTTTTCACTGGCATGTGAAAGTTAATTAGGTTGGAGAGATTGACAGTTCACGATAAAGCAAACACTACTCAACTTAATTGCTTTCTGACAGCTGCGCAGAGTTTGCAGAAAGGAGAAATTGAATTTATGGATGAAGCCCCCTGCGTCTGCTCAATTGCAGACCGACCATTGACACCGATCGATCGGCTAGGGGGACGTGAATGAGCTGTCATTTCGTAAGCAATCATGGTAGATTATGTCTCGTACGTAATGGTACAGTAAGGAAATTAGGTTACTAGTTGACTAAGACGTGTCAACACTATTGACTTGGTCTATATTGTGGGCTTGTCCAAGCCCTACAGCACTAACCTAAATTCATGCCGAGATCAATGCTAATTATGCAAAAGGCATGACTAATAAGTCAGTAGCCCATCACTGGTTGTGTAATGCCTCTTTGTGAGGATAATCGACGTCTGTGTATGCTACTGTTGGTCGAGCTCTGATATAATATCTTTGTGTCAAAGCAACTTTAAGGGCACATAGTCAAAAACCAGTTTACAAGGTCTGCCATTGAGATTACAACATTTGTGGCATACTCTACAGTTTCAAGGCAAACATGACGACATTTCTGAAATGTTTTAGAACGTGATAGCTGGTTTCTAGCTGGTTTAAACTGGACATTAGCTTGTTGACCAGCCACCATGTAAAAAAAAAAAATAATAAACATTTTGACCATCTTAAACTGGTATGACTAGCTGGTATATTGTAGCCTGGGTTTCCCCATACCGCCTTGCCGCAGCGCGATTTTATTCACGCTGCTAGGTAGTCTGGATACCATGGACCAAATTTTCGCCTCATCTAGGGAACCAATCACAGAACGGGGAGGGAGCAGCAAGACGATGACGACGTCTATGCGACACACCGAAGCAGTTTGTTTATACCTATGGATCCAACATGGCAGCAGACGCGAAGTTACCTTTCGATGCAGCCTTACGCGTTTCACACCGCAAGCGTGAGCGGCACTTGAGCAGCGCGTCAGCGTAACTACATCGTCACTGCAGCTGCAGACGCGCGAGAGTTTTCACACTGGAAGCATTTGTACAGTGTCACAGCAGCGGCTCCCCAAAGCTACATATATAGAGGGTATGCACATGACGTCACCGTTGGCCGGAGTGAATGCGGTCACGCCCACAAGTGGCAAAAAGACTGAGCGGCAGCATTTGTTTTCAGCGTGAATGCCGTGAAAAACACACAAAACACATCTAAAACGGGAAAGAGCTTTGCGATTGACTGTACAACTAGATTTGACCAGAAATCTGAGGTACTGTATATTTTTACAGACTGCAAAAAGCTACAGACCAGACTATATTCTGCATAATTGGATGTTTTTAAATAAACACTGACAAAAAACTATACAAGGTTTAGGGCTGGACGATATGATGATATACAGTATAACATTAATGTAAGTGATCACTCGGATTTAGACCTATCTATATTGTATTTATATAAAATGTTTACAGGCAAATTGTCTTAATTTATTTCCCCGGCGTCGAAATCAGGCACATATAAATGTCAGGAAACACGATTCCTGGCTGCATGTCAATATCCATGGATCACTGGATCTTTGATAAGTTGTAAGGAACACTATATCGAGTCCAACTTTTAGTTTAAACTGATAATAGTTTGTTTACTCGCGTTTTCGCAGTTTCCCTTATTAGCTCCAGTCACGCAGCAGCTCTTCTGCCACTCAGTCCCGCTGAGGGGGGCGTGTTCTGGCGGGGAAGTGACGTTAATGCATTCCCTCTATAAGCGAGCAATTCTTTACAAAGACAACTATACATTTGTTTTTAGGAGTTGGTCATTTATAACATTGATAGTCTTGAAAGTTTGTAATGGGGAGGTGTACAACATTCACATATAAATGTTAAACAACAAAACAACCCAGAAAATGGCTCCAATCTATTAGTTTCAGTCATACTTTCGATATGTTTACAAGACTGCAACTCCGCGGATAAAAAACAAAACACACAAATAAACCACACACTCGGGTTTGATTTGGGTTGTGCTAGCCTATGTAGCTGCCTGTGTGTTACATAAACTAAAAGAATGTTTATATATAATATTTTCTGGCTAGTTTACTTTATACTTTTTTTTTATATAATACACAACTTTCACCCAAACTGAATAATTAAAAACAAGTTTTTACCGGGTAGCCTAAATCTTCTATAAATATTTTTGAGTCTTTATTTTCTTTTATTTGTCTACTCAAGTTCTTGTTAAAACTCACTAGACATGCTTATTCTGTGCATTTTTGGGCACTTTTTGTGTGAAATCATATTTATTTTTGTCCATCAAAAGTGTGCTTTCACTTTAATTGAGCGTGAGCAGCGCAGCAACAACAGATTCGACGCCGAAACCCCCGCGTCACTGCTGCTCACGCGCCGCTCCTGCTCGACGCTCACTGCTCCCGGTGTGAATGCACTCATTGATTAACATCCACGCCAAAAAAAAATACGCGTCGCTCACGCATGCGGTGTGAAACGGCCGTTAGATACACGCCATCATATACACATAAATCTCTGACCCATCGTCTTCTTCCTCGTCTAATTTCTGTTGCTTTACATACGTCATCTGGTATAATTGAAACGATTGGCTATGAGCTACGTACAGGCGCATTTGATAGACATTCGTAGCACCCAATAAACGGCTCTGGGCATTCGTAAACCACGCCTCAAATACGAGAAAATGAACATGTGGTTCCCAGACGAGACTTGGGTCTGACGTTAGCCAGGCTAGGTATATTGCTGGTTCAAGATGGTTTGCTAGTTTGCACTAGCTAATGACCAGCTTTAACCAACTAACTAATGACCATCAAAGACTGAGCTAATGAGCAGTTTGTACCAACTAATGAGCATCTTAGACTTAGACCAATGGATGACTAACTCAGGGTACATTTACACAACAACGATATGCTTAAAACGGAAACGTTTTTCCTTTGAGTTTTCCGCCTACAGACGACACCATTGTCAAAACAATCCCCATTCACCACATCCGCGAAAACGGCTAAAAACCCTGGATTCTGGTGCCAGGCCATTAGATGGCGATGAAACACTATAGACTGAACACATAATACGCATGTGCATGACATCATCGTCTTCAGAGATTCGTGTTTTTGTTGTTTACACGGAGACCGTTTTCAAAAACTTGCACTTTGAATCCCGTTTTCAAAACTTTGCATTTTCAGGCACCCAAAACGCCATTGTCGTGTAAATGACCGGCCAAAACACATAAAAAGATTTACGTTTTTAGTTGAAAATGGTGTGGTGTAAACAGCCCCTTAGACCAACTAACAACCAGTTTAGACTAGCTAATGAGCTGATTGTACCAATTAATGATCATCTTAGACCTCATTTGGACAACTTGGACCTACTAATGACTCTCTTGGACCAGATAATGACTAGTTTAGATCAGCTAATGACTAGTTTGTACCATATAATTTACTTTGATACCATGGTAATTACTAGGGGTGGAACGGTACATGTATTCGTATTGAACCGAAACGGTACGGGCGTCACGGTTCGGTGCACGAATTTACACGGAGAATACACGGTATAAAAATAAATAAAACTCGCGTGCAAATTAATTAATGTAATGCGGAACTACTGTTAGATATGCGGGTTCTCTAGGGACACATAATCTGTACCCTCGGCTTTGCTCTGAACCTCTATGCTCTGAACGCGCGTTCACTTCAAATGTTGGCTAACTTGGCTTTATACGCGCGTCCTATTCGCTTTGGACTAGCGTCGAACTAGACGCGATAGACGTGAATTTGACGCTCTATTCGCGTTTGGTGTGATACCGCATTATGAACAGGCTGCGATGTCAAGATTGCAATGCTGGAGTGTGTGTGTGTGTGTGTGCGCGCGCGAGAGAGAGAGAGAGAGGCGCGGGCGCGACCGAACAGTGAAAACATAAAAAACATAGGCTACTCCGTCATTTTGTTCATACTGATCATTAAACCTGCAAAGTGTTTACTTATATTTGTGTACACTCGCAATAAAACACAACATTGTGCTTCTCTCACACTCTAAACTCTTGTCAAACTGTAACCTACAACTGTCACCCAACCAAAATCACACACACACACACACACACACACACACTGTTTTAAAAGCAAAACATATTTATCCAACTCCATTTCAAAACAGTCTGTGGGTTACATCTTTTTCAACATATTGCATTGGTTTTCATTTCTCGTCCTCGGAGCACTAATCTTACACATTCTACATTGATTAAAAAAGAAAATCGAATGTGTTTTTAATGGTAGTATTATTTTATACAGAAACCAATTATTTATAATTCAGATGAGAATAATGTTACATTGTTAATTAATAATGTTAATTAAAATTAAGGAAAACAAATATATTGATTGAAATATAGCAAATTAATTTTAAATTAATTCAGGTACAATTACCAAACATATCGCAAGGTCTTTTTAGTCTTTTTATTAATTTAATTAATAAACTAATTGTATAAAACAATTGTCAGTGCACTACAAATAAACTGGTTCTACGCCTTTATTAATAAAACTTATTTAAAAAATACAATGCCTTCTGCATTTTTGTTTTGCTTTTCCCTCCATTGTCCCGAAATCGTACCGAACCGTGATGTCTGAACCGAGGTAAGAACCGAACCGTGACTTCTGTGTACCGTTCCACCCCTAGTATTTACACAAATTCTAAAAAGTACCTTTGGAGAGTACCATTACCCTCATCTAGTGACCAAAAACATCCTCCATTTTGTAAATTAAGCATTTAAACACGTCCATAAATATACTGCATGCGACACCAATCAATGTCAGACAGAAAGAATAACTTACAAACATCCTAGTTTGTGTAACCAACCAGAAAAGACGTCACTAAAACATAATGTTGCTAACCTGGTACTCATTTGGCCAGAAAGTGCTGACTGCCAGTTCCACCTGGTGCCACTGTCGTCCACGTGAGCCAGAGACATTCCATACGGGAATGCCAAGCGGCCCACCGTTGACCCGCACATAAACCCGCAGCGCCCCCGGGCTGTGGCCGTCTCTGCTGTACAGGAAGTAGCTGAACTGCACGCAGTGCGTGTCGTTTTCGCTTAGAGTCTGCAGCAGAAGCTGAGCCCTCTGCCCCGCTGCATGCTGGGAGGAGTTGACCATCATGTAGGAGCCTTGAGGAGGAAGACAACACAGCAAGAAGGAAGAATCAGCCAAAGGTCAGAGCCATCACATACAAACATAAACACTCAAATATCAACTATTAAAAGAAATAGTCCTAAATTTAATATGGTTTCACACACAAAGCCATCATATCATTTCACAAGGCATGGAATATAGCGCACGGGTCATACGAACCTGTTTTATGATACATTTATGTTGCTTTTTATCCTTTGTGGAGGTTAACATCAAATGTATGCTCTCGTTATATGGGAAATAATGCTTATTTTTTATGTTCAAGAAAGACGGAAAAAAAGTCATACGGGTTTGGACTGACATGAGGGTAAGTAAATTATGACAGATTTTATTTTTACCTATTTGTTTAACATAATCACTTTGTGTTTCGGTCATAAAATATAGTATAAAACAGAAATCTGAAAGCAAGAACATTAAATATTTTCTCTGAATAAGAAAACATTTCATATCTTTGTGTGGCAACAAACATTTGTGGAGAGCTTTAGTGCATATTAGAGTGTGCTTGCTTAAAGAAACAGGCACATATACACTAAGCTCAGAGAGAATAAAAGAAATTGAGGGGGAAATAAATATCCAGCTTCTCTGCGGAGCATATCTGCTGTATTACAGCCTACTCAGAAACTTCTGTGTAGTTTTCCCATTCCTACTTTTCAAAAGCTCTTGTTTGTCTATTTGTCTCTTTCCGCAGACTATCTCTCCCTTCAGTGAGTTCACAAAGGATGACAATTTTGGCATTACTCTCTCAATACAGAGCACACAGAGAGAGAGACAACACACAGCACGGAATACTAAAATGTCTTTCATGCTCTTTTTAGCCTCGAGGCTCTCTGTCTCTGCGGAGTGTGACAAATGCAAAATTTCTCTGTATAAAGACAGAAATTTGTGAGGTGTTGGTATAGCAACTGGCACAAATACTCAAAACAGGCATATACATACTGTATATGACTCTTCAATTAGGGGAACTTTTCTGTTCCCTGGATTTAAAGAAAAAAAATATTATAGATATTCTAAAAAAAAATTTTAATTTTTTTAACAATCATTCTAGCTTTCAAGGATTTATTATAATTTGTTTGTTAACAAACAGTTTATTCTATGAACAAATATATACACTGCCATTCAAAAATTTGGGTCAGTAAGATTTATTTTTTCAAAGAAATGTACTACTTTTATGCAACAATGATGCATTAAATTGATTTTTTTTAAAGTGTATCCATTCTACCTTTATAATGTTACAAAAGATTTATATTTTAAATGAATGCCGTTTTCCTAAAATCCTAAAAAAAAAATAACCTGCAACTTTTTTCAACTTGAATAAATAATAATAATTTCTGAAAGTGACACTGAAGACTGGAGTCATGGCTGCTAAAAATACAGGTTTGAAAAAAAAAAGATTAAAATTATTATTATTTTAAGTTGCCATAATATTTCACAATATTACTTTCATCAAATAAATGCAGCCTTGATGAGCATCAGAAACAAATTCTTAGACCCCAAACTTTTAAATGGTAGTGTATATACAGTTTACTCAATATTTTTTTTTACATAATACCAATATTCCTGTCATTACCATCACACCAGACATTTGAAAACTAAAGAAATGAGGATAGGCGAGCACACTGACAGTTTGAAGATTTTTTTATATATATATATATATATATAGAATGAGCAAAGAGCAAAGTAGCTTGAAGCTAGCCTGGTTAAAACCAGACCATTCTCAGTTGTAACTGAGTTATGGTCTGGCACAGCGTCATAGACAAATCATTTCCAGAGGGGCGTCACCAACGGACGTCGCGGATAGACCTAAAACCAATCAGAGCGATGAAGGAGATGACGTATGCAGAGCGGGTGTTGTTCTTTGCTCGGTTTTTAACGAAAATGAAACGTTCAAATCGCTTAAAACCGACGCGATAGCTGATTCGAACGAGTGATGTTCGGCGGCGGCATCCATCTCTGTAATGTAGGCTACAAAATCTGCTTCAAAATCCCAGCGCTGTGGTCATCGTGTAAAGCCCGCCCCAACGTTTCTGATTGGTGCCTCGATTTCGACGGATTGGAAATGGGCTTGAATGAGCTCTTTGCCAGACTAACTTTCAGAGCAAATCTAAATTTGCCGGAAGTTGTCTGGGTTTTCCCAGGCTAGCTTGAAGCAGCTTGCGAGAGCTAAATTTGTCCGATAATATTTCTCCGACAATATTTCTCCAACATTTTCCCCAAAACATGAAAAGTATCATTAACATCATACACAATATAATTAAAAAAAAATCCACACCATCACACACATGAACATATACATGTATGTCTACTTCAAGATAAAAAAAAGTACATGTAATGTTTTAACATAAAAGGTTTAAAGAAGTTTAAAGTCTCAAGATTTGATATAGTCAAACGTCCTTAATTGAGAACAATCTCACATGCAAGTACATAAAACAACATTCGGCCTGCTTGTTGTTATTAATCAGAGAACAGTGGGACGTTGCAAGTGGGAGCTCCATTTGCAAATAGAGGCTGAGTGAATAATTACGTATGAACTATTCATACCGTATATATACACACGAGGAAGAACTTCTAACCATTGTTTTCTGTATTTGTATATTTTGTCCTCCAAAATGCCCCTGCGTCTAGAAGACAACCGTCACTCCATCCCAAGGTCTTTGTGTTGATTCACATGAAAAATACGAGACCAGACTGTCCTTGTTATCAAAGGAGTTTTTATATGGTCTGACAGAGCAAAAAAAAACCTTGATTAAAATAAAACCTCATTTTCCTAAGCTGAAGGTTAACAGCTATGAATTACAGTACCTAGCAAAGAAAGAGACTTTATAGTTAAGTTGAAATGACAGAAATCAGCTAGTCAGTGGGCAAAAGCTGGCATTGTGTTGGGGACACTTTCATCAATCATGTACTGAATATAACAGCTTATTAAATATATAGGCCGCAAAAAGTATTTGAACGTAAGCCTCGCATAAAAATGTATGAATGTCATTGTATTAAATTAAACATCAAATCAGATGGCATTTATTTTAAATGGTATAAGCCCATATTTCAAGCAGAGTTTACCACAAAATGTTAAAGTCTGAAAATCACGTGTACACACACTTTAAAAAAATCATAAAAAGGATCATAACTAATAACTAATGGCTCTGGGACCAGGCGCTCTCCAAAGCACCTAGGACATCCCTTGATTTATGTATGTCTGGGTGTACATGTGTGTGAAAAGCCCTGCTCTCTCAAGGCATTCTGGTTAATTAGATTTCTCAAGGCTTCTTCATATTGCACTCTAGAGACATCTGAAGAGCACATCACAAGGAAGAAACGAAGAATGGAAAAGGAGGGAACACCGCTAAATCTACAGATAAAGAGTGATTCAGCTGTATTAAACATGTACCTTAACCCACAGAGGAGCTATTGAGAGTCACTGTAAGCAAGGAATTATGACGTTCATGAGGTACTGTTGATTTTCTCAAGCCCATGAAGCTGTTGACTTTGATGAAATGGCTATTTAAAGCTCTCAATACTGATGTGGCTAAATTGCTGCCAGATTAATAAATTAGATGGACAGATATATAGACAAATTGATATATTAAGAATGCACAATAAATCAAATAGCAAAATATATAAGCATATAAAGCATATATAACTCCAACATCCAGATGTAAGTCCAACACTAGAAGAAAATACTATTAGAGCTTTTTATCTAGTATAGCATCTTTTATTAGTGCTGGGCAACGATTAATCGCAATTAATTGCATCCAAAATAAAATTTTGTGTTTACATAATATGTGTGTGTACTGTGTATAATTATTTTGTATATATAAATACAGACACATGCATGTATATATTTAAGAAAAATGTGTTATATATACAATATTTATATTTATATATAATATAAATGATGTTTAAATATATATATACACTACCGTTCAAAAGTTTGGGGTCGGTACGATTTTAAATACTTTTAAAGGAATTCTCTTCTGCTAACCATGCTTATTTGATTAAAAATACAACAAAAATCAGTTATAGTATTAAATATTATTCCAGTGTAAATCAGGTGTTTTCTGTGTGAATATATAGTAAAGTGTAATTTATTCCTGTGATCAAAGCTGAATTTTCAGCATCACCAGTGTCAGTGTCTTCAGTGTCAAATGATCCTTCACAAATCAGTATAATATGAGGATTTGATGCTCAAGAAACATTTATTATTATTATCAATGTTGAAACAGTTGTTGGTCTGTCAGTTGTACAGTTTTTTTTTTTAGGATTCTTTGATGAATAGGAAGTTCAAAAGAACAGCATTTGTTTGAAATAGAATCTTTTGTAACATTATAAATGTCTTTACTGTCACTTTCAATCAAATTAAAGGAGCTGTATGTAAGATTGTGGCCAAAATTGGTACTGCAATCACTTTCAAATTACTGTAGAGCTGTGTATCCCCTCCCCCTCCCCCCTGACTCGAGGTTGCCAGATAGGCTGCAGGATCCAGCAGGAACATAGGCTGCTACAAGGAGCTTTCAACTAGAGCAGAGCTGGCAACCCAGATGCCGAAACACTACTGACTTCGTGATTGGTAGATAGGTGGAGGGTGGGGCTTCAGGCCAAAACACAAGATGACAACATCAACATCAGTTGAGGGCTGCAACTTCACTTTTTAAATGACAATATCCTGGCCGTACTACTGTTGTCAGTGATATAAGTATTTGAAATGAACATGATTTCTTAATGTCTAGTGACATATCAGGGCCATTTTATAATTAATTGAAATACATTTCTTACATACAGCTCCTTTAAGTATTGATTTCCTTCCTCCAAAAAATAAAAATAAAATTCTCACTGACCCCAAACTTTTGAACGGTAGTGTATATATATATATATGTATATATATATATATATGTATATATATATATGTATATATATATATATATATATATATATATATATATATATATTTAAACATCATTTATGCAAATATTTCTTAATATAT